CTATACCTATGATTTCAGAGACTTTGTTCCATATTAATTTAACTTGAATGCAATCAAAAATCAAATGCTTAGAATTCTCTTCACAGCGACATACTGGACAGTATTTATCAATATCTTTATTCCATTTACTAAGATAGAGATTATTCGGTAATAAATTATGTATTAGTTTATAATTAAATTCAGCAACATTTTTATCAAGAATTTTTCTAATTTTTTCCTCATATACGTTTTGCCATTGATTTGAGTAGTTGATATTAAACTCTTTTGACCATATAGTTTCCATAATCGGCTTTTGAGACTTTTGTTGCAACAAAATTTTATAGAAAAATTTTGATGTTTTGTCTTCAATGTTTTCTTTTTTATCATGAAATTTAAAGGAAAATGAATTACATGTGTCGTTAATATTGATGAAAGAAGTATTACTCGAATTAATACTGTGCCATTTACTAAAGATTGTTTTAATTACTAAGTATTCACAAAGATAGTTTTGTTTTTTAATAAGTTTTTTCTGAATTTCTGTCAGTGATTTGAGTCCGTTTTCATCAAAAAGATCTTTTACATATTTAAAACCACTTTCGATCCAATTTTTGAAATAAATAATTTTTCCTTTATATTTCAAATCCTTATTAAACCATATATTTTCACGCAAAAGTTGGTTTGATGCGCTTATTTCAATTTGTGCTTTACACTGATTGAACGCACAAAAAACTTCCTTATAAAAGCGAGGTAACTTAAAGAGAATGTTGAAGTCTGTAATATCAGTAATATTTGATCGTACAAGGTAGGGTAAATTAAGCCCGTGTTGCACTAAACATGCATTTAAAAGATCTTTTAGACTACTTTCAGTATTTATAATTTTGGAAACCCAAGCCGCTTTAGATGCCTTTACTTTCGTTTCAAAATCAATAATTCCTATTCCTCCATTATTAATTTCGCGAATGAGTGTATTTCGTTTAATGCGTTCACGATTTCCCCAAATAAATGAATATATTAATTTGTTTAGATTTTTAATAAAACTTCCATCTGGATTATCTAAAACATTAGCCGTGTATATGAGTTTTGATAAAATTAATGAATTTATTATTTGACATTTTCCAAAGATAGTAAGTTTCCGTTTTCTCCAGGAGTCCAGTATTTTTTCAAACTCTTTGAGTTTATTAAGCCAATTTTTTTCATTACATGCAGTTTTATCATTTCCGATGTATATGCCTAAGCATCTTATTGCTTGACTATTAATTTTGGTTTTACAAATGTATGATTCCTGTTTAAATCTATCTTTTAGTTGTCCTAAAAGGATACATTCAGTTTTTGATATGTTTAGTTTTGTACCAGAAACTTTACCAAAGTTTTCGATCATTTTTAATGCATTTTCTAGAGATGATTTATCTTGTAACGGAAAAGTGCTGTCATCAGCGTGTTGAATACATTTGATTTCATTTTCAAGTGAGTCAATGCTAAAACCTTTTATTTCTGCCGAAGAATTTATTTTCAAAGAAAGCACTTCCATAACAAAGAGGAATAAGAGCGCTGAAACAGGACATCCCTGTCTAATTCCCCTTTTCATTGAACATTGTCTGGAGAGCCATCCATTGTTTTTTATGTAAAAATATGGGTTTTTATATAATATTTTTATCCATGTTATAAAATTGCATCCGAAGTTATATTTATGAAGAGTATTAATTAAAAAATTCCATTCCACTGAATCAAAAGCCTTTTGGAAGTCTGCAAAAAGTAGAATCCCTTCCTTACTATTATTTTCACAATATTCTAAAATATCTAATATCAATCTAGCATTAGCGCCGATGAACCGACCTTTAATGTACCCTGTCTGATTTTTATTTATCAGGTTATCTATAACACGTTTTAATCTTTCCGCTAACACGAAAGCTATAATTTTATAATCGGTATTAGTAAGACTAATCGGACGATAATTTTCAAGTTTATCTAAGGCATCTTTTTTATGTATAAGAGAAAGTACAGAGCATTTTTGTGTTTGTGATAATTCACCTTTTTCGAACGACGCTATTAAAGCATTGTAAAAATATTTATTTACGTGTTTCCAAAACATTTTGTAAAACTCTACTGGTAAACCGTCGATTCCAGGAGATTTATTTTGTTTCATTCGATATACTGCTTCTGAACATTCTTTTAGAGACGGAAATTGATCGCAATTTATTCTTTCTTCCTCTGTAATTTTGTTAACGAAGTCGATATTATTTAAATAGTTTTCAATGTCATCGCTTGGAATATGTACACTCGAGTACAAATTTTCATAAAATAAACAAAGCTGTTTTAATATGTCGTCAGTTTTATTATAGATCTGATCGTCTTTTCTTATTGTATTTATAACGTTATGTGATTGATGTTTGTTTTCAAGTCTTAGAAAATAAGAGGTATTCTTTTCACCTTCATCAATCCATTTAGCCCTCGATCGTATTTGAGCGCCTTTAGATTTATATTCATATAATTTATCTAATTCGTCTTCTAGATCTTTTTTTTGAATCATATTGATTTGTGTATAGTGACTATTTTCTATCTTCTCGATATCTTTTTCAATATTTTGTATTCTGCTTTTCAAAGATTTATTTTTTTGGGTACAGAATTTAATACTTATTTTCTTTATGTGATGTTTTATCAATTCCCATTTAGTGTGAGCGTTATTTTCATTTTCTATATCTTTGGGAAGTTGGGTAAAAAAATCATTTATCAAGGAACAATAATTGGGGTCTTGTAGAACAGAGGTATTTAATTTCCAATAGCCTTTTCCCCTATCGTTAGCTGAAACGGAACATTTAAAAATTAATGAGAGATGATCACTCATTCTACATTTAGAAACACTTGGTGCTTTACGTAAAAATATATTCTCAGGAGTAAAGCAAAAATTTTTACTAAAAAGTACATAATCTATTCTTCTTTTAGGCAAGTTGCTACCATCACACCACGTAAGACCTGCTTTATCAGATTTCAAATCCGACCACAAATCATACATATTGAATCTCTGCATTAAATCTTTAACAACTTTCACGCTTCTATCTTTTTCATTACAAATTTTACAGTTAAAGTCTCCAACAAGTATAATATTTTCATCATTTAATGTATACTGGGAAATCCACTTCATAACTTTTTTGAAAAATTGTTCTCTGTGATTTTCTGAATTCGGAGCATATACATTAACAAGAGAGATAACCCTTTTCTCATATTCAATATTCAATAATAAAATTCTACTATCCGCAGATCTATGAACATTAATAATTTTGAATGGAAAATTTTTACTAAATAATATTGAAACACCTTTACTATGTGGCGAATCAGAAAAGTTGTGATAAGAGGAACCATGCCATCTTGAATCATAACTATTAATCCTATCTTGAATAAAATGTGTTTCTTGTAAAAATATAACATCACATTTAATATCATTTAGCCAATCATATAATATTAATCTTTTATCATAATTATTTAAACCTCTACAATTAAGTGAACAGAGTTTGATGTTTGCCATTGTCTGAAGATTTACCTCTTAAGGTAGTTGTCTAGGCCCTGCTGACTTTTTTTGTTGGTGGAGCCTGACCTCTTTGGACGAGACCATGCGCTGCCTGGAGCTTTACGTAGCTTTTCTGCGAGTTTAATGATGATCTTTCCCATAATATTTTGACCTGGCCACGCCACCGATTTTGTGTGAAGGGTTTGAACGGCGTTTAATCCAGTACCCCAGTATTGATCATACACGGAATGGGCAAATAGCGCATCTGCAGTGGAGGAAGTAAGGAGATCTTTCATTTCATTACATTGTTGTAATTTTTCTGCTATAATTTCCTCCATGACGGATGGGGCGTCCTGAAGCCATGAATCTGGTGCACGAATAGCTTTTCCAATAAACTTGCACTCAAGAGGGGATTTAGCCTGGCGTATACGTTCTGCTGCCACAAGATCACCAGAGCGCATTGCCTTAGTGAGTTGAAAAGCCTGCTCCGCTGACTTGAAATGCTCACCAAAAACTTTCAGATCACAGTGGTAGAAATTTGAAAGGATATTTTTCTCTCCGTCGAAGGCTACCACTTTGGGGTTGTTTTGAGTAAACTGAGGACAGATCTCATCGCCTGGTTTGTGTCCCTCGTTTTTACAGGCTGAGCACCGGGGTGCATTTTGGCACGCCTTGAAGAAATGCCCGGTCTCCCAGCAGTTTGTACAGGTTGGGGGTGGTTTTTCCATGGTTTGCCCACGATGAAAAATTTTGCATTTGAGACCTGCACAGTAACTGAAGCGTGGGAGGGTTTTGCTGGGCCCCAAAGGTTCAATATATAAAAAATCTTATTGCAGGTTGTCGTGAAAAAAAACCCGGTTCTACATATTAGATATTATTTAATTGATTGGAGAATTATAGCTGATTTCATTCAAAATAACATAAAAAAAAATCAGTGGATATAAATATGTATCAATTTAGTTTGAAAAAGCCTTTGATTCTCTTTTTTCTTCAATTTTCTATATACTATATGCAGGAACATTTTTGTCCTCTTTTTATTTTTGCCATTGTCGCCCTGTCTTCAGTTGGGCGAATTTAAAACAGGGCAAAATAAAATAATACAGTATGATATCTTTAATTCAACTATGTCGGCGCGAATTTAAAACGAAGCGAAAGTATCTGCAGGTGTAAAAGGTGAAAATAAAACGGGTGAAAAGCCTTTAAGCAGTACTTATACCAATTTGGAGAATACGTCTACAATATCATTATACATACGAGCAAGCCTTTTAAAGCAAAAGCAAATTACATAATATAATAATTATGAAACATTATTTTTATTTCGTTTGCAAAAAGAAAACAATATTCTCCCTTTCAAATAATGTCTTTCATACTAGGGCAGATTGTGAAATCTAAAAAAAAAATATCTCTACGTTCAAACTCCTTCAAGTATACTTGCTTTCAATTAATACATGTTCTGTACATATGTATACTTAAACAATATAAAATACACCTTAATTGACTATCTCAACACTTTACACCATTAATTACCTCCATATGTCCAGCCTGTAAACATTGTCTCCCGTTGCTCACATTTATTTTTGTCAACTGTTTCTGTAAAAGGTTTTGACATGTCCATCACTAGTATATAGAAAGCCCTTCTGCTGAGATAGACCTGATGACAGGCGTAGTAAGCACACTGGCCTCCAAAATCTACCACACTTAGGATTTTCTTATCGTCTTTGTTTGTATCATCTAATAATGCTGTGAAAACGTTTTCATTGTCAATCAAAATATGAATATATTTTCATTAAATTACATATTCATATGGATGTTAAAGAAGTTATTGTCAAAGTTCATTCGAAAATCAGTTGAATATGAATTAATTGTATTTTTGTGTGTGAAAAACAACAGAAAAGGTAGAACCTATGTCGGAAAAGTCTTTGTCACAAGATTTTCAAACTTTTCAACTTGATCATTTGTACTTGCTTATTAATAAGTTTAAAGCTCATATTATGTTTCCTTAATTTTTAAATCTAGTACAAACTATGAAACTTGGTATGGTAATTACATACTGCGACTACACATTTTCAGTTCTTTTCATAGGTACTTGACAAGAAGAGATTTCTCTAGAATAATTCCCTTTTTATTAAAAAAAAAGATAAGTCCACATTTTAATAAGAATAGGCATATGAACTCTATTTTAATGTCAATCTTCCACCCTACCTTTGTAAATATTTTTTAAAAGTCTTTGTCACATTTTTGTCACATTTTTTTCAATCTTTAATATGATGAAGAACATACCCAAATGATTACAAAAAGTGATTAAAATACATGTATATACCCTAACTAATGAGAGAGGTTATTTACTGATTCTACTATTCTTGACCTTTTGGCACTTACACGGGATTTATATTAAATGACTGTTTTGTGTTTTTTAAAGATTTAAAATGATTATCAAAAATTGTACTTTTAATTTAAAAAGATCATATCTAATAGAACAAGTAAGTAACAAATAGTTGAAATAATGATGAAAAGGAATGCACAAGGTTACATATAAATGTATCACAAAAATGTACACAATATCACACCGCTAGGTTAATGTGCTGTCACAGTTCTTATTTTTTCATTTATATCGTTTTGTAATGTGAATCATATAGAGTTATCGTTCTTTGTCAATTTTTTGAATTATCTTCCTTGAGTAGAACTCTTTTGTATATAGAGTTACTTCCCTCATTTTCCCGTGCAAAATTTGTTCAGCCATTCGTGTTCCATCCGTGAAGAAGTACATACATTTTTTTTGTTCTTCCTTCTACTTTCTTTTGATTTGTGGCCTACTACCATGTAAGTTTTCTTATAGGAAACTTTTGTGATGTAATGCATATTATTTGTAAGTTATATCGGTAATCATTTTTTGAGAAACTTTGTGTACTATTGTAAACACTTTTCAGTCAGGTATTTTTCACGAAGTTTTAAATCAGGAAAGATTTAAGAATTGATTATTGTTATTCATTTTATTTAGTAATTGTTAAAGTAATTGATCTATTTATTATGGTCAGGTTTATATGTGAGCTTTTTTTATGGAACTCTGTTTCGGTCTTTTTGGTATTTAGTATTTTTTTTTAATTTCAGTTATTTACCTGTCTCATCCTCATTGAATCACTCACTCATTCGTTTACGTACCGTAATAAATATGGAACCAGCACCTTGTGTTATTGATTATGTGTGACTGTGAGGACCCCAGGTTTAGCTAGCTGTTCCAGACAGCATAGTAAATAAAATGTCAACTGGCCAAACCCAGGATTCGAGGATAAGTGATCATCGTCAAGATGAAGAAGCAGAAGAAGAAGAAGAAGAAGAAGATGAAGCCTCTCCCAGGCCAAAACGTCAAAGAGATTTAACTTCAAAGGTTGAAGGTCTACTAGACAAGTCTTTTGACACTTACTCAGCTAAATTGCAGAAATTATGGAAAAACGTTGGTACCATTATTGAAGAAGTAGATCACACATCTTCTTAAAATCTCAAACTTATCGTTCAATTAAAATCTTTATTAGAAACAAGGATAGATGCCTTTGACTCACATTTTAGTGAATTCTGTGAATTTCTGGATAGACAACGTACCGAGAGATGTGTGCATGAACTGCAAAGACTCAAGTTGGCAAGGAAGGGTTATTCAATATTATTTGACTCCGCTTTCAGAAAGCTTGGTGTATTGCAAGAACAGTCTTCACAGCGTCATGAGCAGAAACCACCTCAGGAAGAAGATGTCCATTCAAATAGATCAAAGAGATCAAAGAGATCACAAGAAAATGTGTCACAAACTCCTTCATCAAACAGTAATCAAAGTACATTGTCTGAGAAGAGAAAAAAGGCAGAAATTGCGCGAGCAAAATTAAAATATACTGAACTTGAAATGCAAATCAAAAAAGAACAATCTCTTCTAGCATTAGAAAGAGCGAAGTCTCAGAAAATGACGGACGATGACGTAGAAGCAGATCTACAATTACTCTCAGTAAAAAAAGAAGTAGAAGTTGCTGAAGCCAAAATTCTCAGTGAAAAAGAAGGAAGTCAATGTGGTCGTAGTGATACCTATATACCTATATTAAAGATTTAGAGAGTGTCGACAGAAAAGAACGCACAAAAACGCACAAAAATCATATATATATGTAGAACAACATGCTCTAATTCAAACTCAGGATAAAAACATTCCATCGATTCCAGAACCCTGTGTAAATCCTCAGGCTCTTCCATACATTCCTCAACAACCATCCTGGAGTGTAGGACAAGCAGCAACACAAGACTTTACTCGTTATCTCCTGAAAAAAGACTTAATGCTTTCACGTCTCATCAAATTTAACGACAAGCCTGAATTCTACCCATCCTGGAAAGCAACCTTCAGATCTGTTATGAGAGACTTGCATGTAACACCAGAAGAGGAAATAGACTTTCTTATCAAATTCACTAGTCTGTCAGCTCAACAACAGATTCTCAGCATTAAGGCGGCAAGTGCAAACAATCCTACTCGTGGACTTCAGCGAATTTGGCAAAGATTAGAGGAGCGATTTGGGTGTCCTGAAATGATAGAGTATGCATTAAAAACGAAACTGAACTCTTTTGTTCCTATTACATCAAAAGACTTTCGACGCCTATACGACTTGTCTGATATTTTGGATGAAATCCTAGCAGCAAAAGAAGATATTCGTTACCAGCCATTACTCGCAAACTTTGATGCATCAACAGGAGTGACACCTATCGTCATGAAACTTCCATACCAACTTCAAGAAAAATGGACAAATACAGCAGTAAAATACATCAGTGACCATCATGTTGTGTTTCCGCCTTTTCACGTATTTGCAAACTTTATTCGTGAGCAAAACCGTATCAAGAATAATCCCAGTTTTGCTTATACTGACAGAAACTTAAGTATGCAGAAACACAGTGACAAAACTTTGAAAATTTCAAGCAGGAAAACAGCTCTGTCTCAAACCCCACAGATTTTTCAGAGCTCAGGAATGGAAAATCAATGTCCCCTTCATAAAACAAGAAAGATATGGAAATAACGAACAGTATTCAATCTCAACGTCCATTAAATAAGAGCAGAGAAAACACGGACATAAAACATAATTTTAAATACCTCTCTGAAAACAAAATACACATTTAATTCAATATGTTTAAAAGAGAAATAAATGTAATTGATATGTGAAGGATATAGAAATAACGAACAGTATTAAATCTCAACGTCCATTAAACAATATACAAAATAAGAGCAGAGCAAACTAGGACCTCCGAAACATCAGAGGTGGGATCAGGTGCCATGGAGTAGTGAGCATCCCCTGACGACCGGTCACACCCGCCGTGTGCTCGTTGTCATAATCAGGAAATAACGGAAAAAATCCGTGGTCAAAAAAAATCAATTCAGTGTATAAATAATGGACTAACAATTGGTATGAAAAACGTCAGTCAGCATTTTATTCAATGATAAATTGTATTTGCTGACAAGGTCATTGTATCGACCATAGAATTTACGAAATGATGACATTAAACCAGACTGTTGATATTCTTGTTTCATCAACTTGCTTGTCAATAATTTACCTCGTTTAAGAAATTGTTAATACGTAGAGCATGCTCTTGCGTATCGAATCAACTGCGATATAAATACTCCGTATGCAGGTGATGAAGGTATATTGCTGCATAAGTAAGAGAAGTTGACGATAGAAAAGTTAAAGTCATCACGTTTATCATATAGCTTGGTTGTTAGATTACCATTAGTGTCTTTTTCAAGTAAAATATCCAAGTATGAAGCAGAAGTGTCGGACTCTGTGGTATCTTTTATCTCAAGCTCACCAGGATATATCGTGTCGACGTAGGAATGGAAATTATCATTATTAATTGACAATATATCTAAATGTCGAGTTGAAGGCCACAGCAAGTGTTTTCTTCATATCACGTAAAAGATTTTGCATAAATTCTGCTTCATATGATTATAAAACTAAGAACGGAGCGAAATTTGTACCCATGGGAATTCCAATAGATTGTTGGAATACCTGGTCTCCAAAAACCACATAGATATTGTCAATCAGAAACTCAAGCATCTTCTTGATGTCAACTTCAGAGTACTTATGTGTACAATCAGAATCTGTTTTAACAAAATAATTTTTCAAATGACCAATGACGAGGTAAGTAAACTTACGAGTTCCATTTTTGTTGAAGAAGCATCTGTCAATGATATCAAAAAGCCTGGATTTTAATTTGTCGTGGGGAATTGTTGTGTATAAAGTTGAAAAGTCGTAAGTTTTTATGCTGTTGATTTTTGTAATGTCTTGTGATTTCAAATTGTCCAAAAGTTCTTTAGAATTTTTAAGTATCCACATCTGATTTACACCATTTCTTGGAACAGTGTAGAGGTTTCAGAACAAAATCATTTGATGAACGGCGAAAAATCTTGAAAGATAACAATTTGTGTTTTAGATGTTGTTCAAAGGATCATAAACAAGCAGAGTGTCATTCTGATGTGCAGTGTGGAGAATGTGGTAGAAAATTTCACACATCACCATTATAGGCCAAAAATAAAGACTCCATACCCTTTGAGAAACAATGGCGGGGAGAATTTCACTGAGAGACAAGATTTTGAAAATGTGAACAACCCAGATGTGAATTCTAAATGTACACAAATCTGTGGACAATCATTTGGAGGAAAATCTTGTGCTAAAACCATTCTAGTTCATGTGTACCCAAAACACTGTCCGCAAAAATCTGTGAAAATT